GAAAACAATGGGTCTGTTGCACCTATTTTTTTTAATTCATTTTCTAATAAAGTGCATCATTCTGAGCTTCATGAATTTTTCTCAGAATTTTTGGACCCCCCAAACACCCCAAAAAAGCACCCAAAAGTTCAAAAAATTTTGGCGGGAAAATTTAAAACTACAAATGACGGGAGAGTGAAGCCATTTTGTGACGTCACAACCAATACCCCACGTTTGTTTATTTTACAAATACATGGATTTCCCATAAGGGATCGAGAGGAAAATTTTCAAAAGGAATTATCAGACTGTTGGAGGCCGTATTCATCAAATGTTCTTGCGATAATAGACTCTTTATACTCTCTAGTTGATAAAAACATCCCTAGTAACTTACAAATCGCATCAGATGATTTAATTATTTCCGATGCATCAAAGCATGTCACGAAAGTGAGGTTATGTTTACAATCTTATCTGGGATACATATAAGTCCTATTTTCACGGTAAAACTCTCATATAATGTAGTTTTAGGTTCCTTAATCCTAGGAACTATCTGATGCAGCTTTCTGAATCTAATGGGTCTGTTGCACTCAGGAGGGATTTGGAGTGTAATGAGTCATTCCGATGTAAATTTTCACGAGAAAACGGTTGGTGTGGTTAAAAACATTCATAGTTTGATATTAAAGCTGCAAAATCTAAATAAAGTTCAAAGTTCCAACGGAGGCCTCTCATTGGTCGTCTACGTCACAACCAGCAATCTTATTTCCCGCCGTTTCGACGCACCTGTGCTACCCCATAAGGAATTCAAAGTCGTTTTTCTAAAACGAATTTCGGTCGATATTTAACTTATCTCACCAAATTTTCTTGCAGATATCAGTTCTTCACATCCTCTACTTTACAAATTTATCAACGACTATGTTAAATTCGCATCATATTAAAGTTTAATACATGTAAGGAAGTCCCGAAAGTGTGGTTATGTCTCCCTTTAGGGGGTTTTGCTGGTCAAGTCAATGCTGCTTGCTCAAATACATCAACGCATGTATCGGATATATTGTGTAAAATTAAGTTTGTATTCATTATTTGACTCTTAATGATTACTTATTGTCCCAGTATTTCAGTGCAAATGATGTATGAGTGAGGTATTCCTGATCTGTCCTGCTTACTGCAACAGCTACCTTTCATTGGAAGTTTTAAAAATATGATGGAAACTATTGACTTAAATATTTACCCCCGATGTCATACCTATATAGTTTTTGTATATACTCCTTGCATCATTAGTTGTAAGTAATTATTAAAATACCATACATTCATCGAAACAGGCACTGGACTAATCGGAGGGGTAGTAACTCCTCAACCGGACGGGTGATTAAGGACCTCCAACAGTTCATAGCTGGTGCTTGATTGGCAGAGAATCTTACCTTACGTAAAATTGATGGTATTTTCAACTTATTTACTTATGAGCGGACAGATTTAAACAAGTAAATATGTTCAAATGAGTACGTTGATCTCTCAGCTAGTCAGATAGCGCAGCTGAGCAAGACACATTTCATGCAAAAAAGTAGAATCTAATGATCCAATATCCAATGAATGGGTCTGTTGCACCTATTTTTTTTTCCATATCCATTATGTAATCGTTATAAAGAAGAACCGACCATATGTATCAAGACTTTTTCTGATAACTTCTTGGGAACTTCAGGAGACAATTGGTAAAAAAGTCTTTCAGCTGTACAATTACTAATCTTCATTCATTTAACCACGAACCAAATTAAAATTGGACAAGGCCGAATCTTAGCTTCCCCTTGGAAGTCAAAGGCAAATACTTTACAGGAATATTATATGAACCCTACTAGCAATGGTAGTTATTTGTTTTAAGGAAACTCTTATTAAAACTGGTAAAATTTACGAAGAAGGAAACCCTTTTTAGGATTTTTAACGTAAAATTTACGAATGACAAGAATGAGAACACCGCACGTATGACAGCCTGTAACTAGAAACAGCGTTGTGAGAAAAACGCATTTTTAGGTTTGTAATGATGTAGTTGCTTGCAGCTGGGATTTTACATCTGATGATTGCTTCTAGCAGAATTTTTCGCGAGAAAACCGTTTTTCATAATTGCAAGTTCCGAAATTGAGTCGAAAGCTCCGAAAAAGCTCGGTAAGAAGTCGCAAAATCGCGGTTAAAAATGAACGATTTCCATTGGCTGTGACGTTACTTGGTACTAGGGGGCTACGCCCCCTGGCCGCTACGTGGCCCAACCCCATGAAGGCGCTCCGCGCCATCAATGGGCCGCTTTGCCGCCCCCATTATTACCCTCCTATCAGTGTTAGTTTTATTTTTCCCCTAAAAAATTACGATATGAAGTATACCTTACTGTTAGAATGAAATAATTTTTGGTTTTGATGAATAAAGAAATTTTTTTTTTTTTTGAAGTCAAAATGACGCGTTTTGGAATAACTGCTTGATGAAATATTGCAGCTAGAGCAACGAACAATGATAATCAGGTAATAATTAAATTAATTAAGAGTCTGGGATCGAACCCAAACAGAGATCAAAGTGGACGCTTCCGACGCGACGTCTTTGATGACTCGGCCACCGCTCCACTTGAAGTAATTGGTGCGAATCTTGTGTAGAGAAGTGTAGAGCTGATGCGCAGGCTACGCAGCTACTGCGCAACCTCCTCGACCACTGCGCATCCTCCCGCGCATAGCGGTAGCAGTCCCGGAGCATTCTGTAAATTCACTCACTTTTATAACGTGATTTTAAAAAAACCTGGGTCCTTTTTCCAAAATCTGATTAAAGCGGGCTCATCTAGGGCCTATTACCTATAGATTTACGCAAAAATAATGGAAATCGGTCCGGTAAAACGCTCAAAAATAAAAAGTAAAAATTAAAAAAAAAGCTCTAAAAAGTATAAATTTACATTGTTTAAATGGGAGAATTCGCAACTTTACCACGCAATGTAAAAAAAAACCTGGGTCATATTTTGAAAACCTGAATAGAACGGGCTAATCTAGAGACAATTGCCCGTCGATAGCTGCAAAAATAATGAAAATCGGCCCGGTAGAACGCTGGAACTGAGCGTTACCAGATATGCAAATTTAGGAGGTCTTGGAGCTTATATATATGATACAAGGCCCCGCCCACCGCCATCACTCCTATCTCGACCGTAAGTTTACCGAGCCGAAGCGTGATCTTATAAATATGATACAAGGCCCCGCCCACCGCCATCACTCCTATCTCGACCGTAAGTTTACCGAGCCGAAGCGTGATCTGTTGTACCATTAATAGGTGTCTACATTATCTTTTTTCCTCGGAAAATACTGTCGGAAATCATGGCGAAAGGTGTTTAGAACGCTGCTCAATCTTGATCGTAAGCTCAAACACAAGTGCTACTTTGTTTCACCATCACGAGAGTTATGACATCAAAGTGGTGTTGTTGATGGTCCCGCTTACTGACAAGGTCACGTATCGGCTGTCCAATCACAAAGAAGCTGAATTGCTGATGACATCAGAGCGCCATCAAACGTGCCTTCTTAAAATTTAGTTCGAATAATGCTCACAGGGAGCTCTAACAGTCGTAGACATTAAAAACCGGCGGAAAATATGGAATAATTTATGAAATAGAAATTATAATCTGAAAACTTTTCAGAAAAAGATAAAATGAGCATTGTAGGAAAATTCTCTTTGATAAAGAATATTGCATCTATAAAATATCTTACAAAGTATAAAACTTATAATTGGAAACCTTCTTACAAAGCACTACAGGCACTCTAATCATTATACCTAATTAGTGAGTTTTATTAATGAAAATACAATAAACATTAGTGTAGTATTTATCTGAGAAATCAAGTACAAAATACCAATTTTTAGGTAATTAGGAAAGAATCCAGCACGAAAATCGCCACGTGAGAAGAAGTTAGTAACTAAGTAAACAAACAATCAGGAGTATTCAAGAGTGAGGTTAGAATCCCACCATCAGCCGATGACGACCTGCGGAGGTCCACAACGACTGATGTAATCACTCAGCATCAAGCAACATTACCGCACGCTGCGTACGGTAGTTTTTCGGGTACCGGACGTGAGGAAAAATTAAGGCAGAAAAGAGAGCAAATTTTCTTGCTGTTAGAATTTTGACGACTGAAACAACGGATTAATTTTGGCTTCAATGATTAATTGTAATTGTGTAATTGTCAGTGAGGGTAGTGGCAAATGCAGAAACATGCATTCATTTTGAATGGTGCATGAGGTTAGAAATATTGAAACGTTTGAAGTCATAGTAACCAGTTGTATAGTAACCATAGTAACCAGTCGGCCTCCTGTGGTGTAGTGGTTGTAGCGCTGGCCCTATGACCAAGAGGTCCCGGGTTCGATTCCCGGCCAGGTGATCTGAGTTTGATGGTCTCAGATAATGGTCACCTGGGGCTGGGGTAATAAGCGTGGGATTAGCCGATAGGCTATTTGAATTTGGCAAAAAAAAAAAAAAAAAAAAAAAAAAAAATT